GACTGTACACGCTTTCTATCATACTGGTTACCAACTTTAACACATGTCTGTACTTTTTACACTGTTCGTGTGAGCGTTGACAAGCCTAAATAGGTTTTGATTGTATACAGCATCACTAGTGGCTGTTCCCGGCTCCATGTGTCCAGCTGATACTATGAAAAAAAAAAAATTTACAAGACAGACTGACGGAGACATTCTGAATAGGAACAGACATTAAATTAAAATGTGGGGAAAGTGTTTCTTCACAAGATGCTGAATGTTTGCGTTACGAACATTGAGTTACGAATGAGGAAACAGAATTAAAGAATAGTTTTGATGCCGACACAATATCCATGAGCTTCAAATTGTCCAATAACTTCTTCATTGCATGTTTTCACGATCTCTGTAAAGTGATTAGTTGATCTTGTACTGTTTCCATTTCACCAACACTGTGAATTAAACAAACATTGCATTATATTAAGGAAGTTTCACATAACAAAAATATTATTTCTTTTAAAGTGTTAAAAGTGCTCAGAAACAGACAACATTACATGTATGTATGTATGTATGTATGTATGTATGTATGTATGTATGTATGTATGTATGTATGTATGTATGTATGTATTATATTGTTGATAGACTATTAACCCAGGAGAACCTTCAGTGCACATAATATAGGGCTAAAAATAGATTTATTTCTGGTTCTGATGTCATTTTTTTTTATTTTCATGCAAATAAAATGTGTGAAACTACTCTTCAAATACGGTAAATTTTTTTTTTTCATTTTATTTTAATATATACTTGCCTTCTTTCAATTGCTTCTGCTCTGTAAGTAAAAACAATAAATCAAAGTGAAATAATGGAAGAAATGAGTATGTTAATAAAGTTTATTTATTAATTCCAGAATCCCCAGATTCAATGATTTACAGTATGTACCAAGTGTTGTTGATAACTGTTCATGCATGACCAAGACTTGGTTAACATTAAAATCCAAGTATTAAAAGCTATTCCTTGATATACTCCGCAAGTTTAAAATTATTATGTCACTTACTGAAACTGTAAATGTGAAACCAGGATACCCATTCTCTTGACAGTCTAGAAAATAAAAAACATGTAATTCCTTGAACAACTAGAAATTGTATTATCAGATATATTTTGCTTTCAGCCTATGATGTATGAAGTCATAAGTGTCATACTACCGGTAGTACAGTTAGGTAATCCAAAACAAAAGTTGTTCACAAATAGAGAAAAATGATCAAGAACTACCATAGATTTAGTTGAGATTGAATTTTTAACATCTCTTAATGCTGACACCAGCGAATCACACAGAGAATTTTATGTCTGACAATTTATATTCTACATTCAACTCGTCAAAGATCAGTGAAAATAAATTCCATACCAAACACCCAATAAGTCTATATTCAGCGAATGATAATTCCAACTAAAATAAAGTATTTTACAGTAGTGGTTTATGGACCTGGATTAATTACATTATGTAAATTAACCTGTATACTTACTGCATCTGAGCTTTCTATTGTGTTGTCAACTGATACAAATGTCTTGGCAGCATGCGATAATAACTGATGAAAAAAAAAATACATTGTTTTACTTCAGAATGGTTGGTTATAGAATGAGATATCCTTTATCACTAGTATGACTGCTGTAGAAAGTTTATCATTTAAAATACAAAACCCACCTAAACTACATACATTGCTCTGCCCCCATATTTATCATGGACTCTGAGGTATGAATCAGCTAGGCAATCGACAGTGAAATTGACATAAAAATAACAAACGTTACCCTAGAATATACGCGAATGGGCAGAGCTCCAGAAGGAGTACCTACACTTTATGCAAA